GTTAGTGACCCCTCCATCTTTCTTTCGGGAGTATCATCAAGGGGTTCACTCGGCACCGGTTCATCCAGTGTTTACTTTCCAAGCTCGTTTTTATAACAAGAGGTCTCCTATTCTTCTCTCCGTGTTGGTTGATACAGGTTCGAGTTTATCTTCTATTGCTCGACCTGTTGCCACACGTTGTCGTCTACACTTGCGTCGTGCGGCGGATCCAGTTTTCATTCTTTATGGCAACGGCCGTACACATGCATGTGCACGAGATGAGGCGGACCTGGTTGTGCGTGTGGGCGATCTCGAGCTTGAGTTGCAGTCGTTGCGGGTGGTGCCGAGTCAAGCTTTTGACCTCATTTTTAGTATGGATTGGTTGCAGCACAATCATGCCAAGTGTGACTTTGAGGCTTTTCCCCCTTGTCTCATACTTCCTTATGTTTCATCCATTCCTCTCACTTCCGTACCTCTTCGTCCCTCTACTTCTACCTCTGCTTCCATTACTTTTGTTCCCCAATTATTTCCTCTTGTGTTTCCATCTTGTTCTGCTCTTCCCTTTTCCGATCCCTCCGATGATCTTTGTGTTGCAGCTGTTGACCAGCTCATGAAGGAGTATTCTGATCTCTTTGAATTTGACCTATCGTCTGGGGCCAAGATTGCCACACGTCATCCCATTCCAACCGGGGATGCTCGTCCAATCAAGGTTCCTGTTCGTTGTCGGTCACCCAAGGAGATCAAGATTTTACGTGCAAACGTCAAGGAGATGTTGGAGAAGGGTGTTATTCGGAAGTCGCGGAGTCCTTGGGCATGTGAACCTCATCTTGTGACGAAGCCTGATGGGAGTATTCGTTTCTGCATCGACTATCGTCCGTTAAATGAAGTGACGATCCCGGACGTGTACCCTCTTCCTCACACTGCTGATCTCTTGGATCGTCTGGGGCGAAGTCGTTGGTTCACCAAGCTAGATCTTGCTTCTGGGTATTGGCAAGTACCGATGGCTGAAGACGATATTCCTAAGACTGCTTTTCGTACACCATTTGGTTTGTACGAGTTTTTGGTGATGCCATTTGGTTTGAACAATGCTCCAGCAACTTTTCAGCAAATGATGGACGAGGTTCTTTGCGATATGCCGGAGGTGACGGCTGACTTCATTGATGATGTCTTGATCCAGTCGGAGGGGACGTGGGAGGAGCATGTTTGTGATGTTTGTAAAGTGTTGGATCGGCTACGCGACGTTGGTTTAAAGCTAAAGCGGTCGAAGTGCGTGTTTGGGTCCAAGGACACAACTTATCTTGGGTACCGTATTTCTCGTGAGGGTTTGCAAGTTGATCCTGACAAACTTGTGGCTGTTCTAAAGTTCCCTACTCCGAAGTGTGTGAATGATGTGCAGCGCTTTTTGGGTAAGGTGCAGTATCTCGGTCGTTTTGTGGATCATCTTTCCGATCGCACTTTACCATTGCGAGCATTGCTGAAGTCATCAACGTCATCTTTCATCTGGTCTCCCGATTGTGAGCGGGCGTTCGTGAATCTCAAAGAGCTATTGACGACTCCTCCGGTTTTGGCATATCTTGACTACACTCGACCTTTTATTTTGCGCGTGGATGCTTCTGACATTGGTCTTGGAGGTGTGTTGATGCAAGAGAGCTCGAGTGTGCCTGGTCAGCGCCATCCCATTGCATACATAAGCCGTACATTACAACCAGCGGAGATGAACTACTCCACGACGGAGAAGGAGTGTTTAGCAGCAGTCTGGGGTTTCGAGAAACTTCATGCCTATCTACATGGTTCTCGGACGTTACTTGAAGGTGACCATGCTGCTGTTACTTCATTATTGAAGCGGAAGAACCTGGTTGGTCGTACGGCTCGATGGGCTTTGAAGCTTCAGATATATGATTTTAATGTTGTTCATCGCCCAGGGAGTTCTATGGCTGATGCTGATGCCCTTTCTCAAGCTCCTCTTCCTTCTCCACTCACTTCTCATGTTTCTGACGAACCTGTTGTTCCAGCATCTGTGGATTTTCTAGATGAGGATTCTGTGCCGTCGGCGGTTGCTGTCCTTGACGTTCAGTGTCCACAGGGCGTAGAGCAAGATCTACCTTCTCTGGATGAGGTTCGCGAGGCTCAAAAGATTGAGCCGTGGATTCGAAGGCTTCGAGATGGGTTTGAGAATCCTGCATCACTTGCTGATGACTTGCCTTTTCGGCATTTACATTCTCAATATCGCCTTGAAGATGGCCTTCTTTATTTTGTGGGGACGGATCCTGATGCTCATTTACGGCTGGTGGTGCCTTCGGTGTTTATTCCGCGGTTTCTCCATGCCTACCATGATTCTCCTATTCTAGGTGGGCATATGGGACACCGTCGTGTCACCGAGAAGTTGCGCAGATCTTTCTATTGGCCAGAGATGCGACGTGATATTATCCGGTATGTGCGTAGCTGCGTTTGGTGCCAAGCTCGTAATACTCCCCCTTGTGCTGCGGAAGGACGGTTGGAGTCAATTGCAGTTTCTCGTCCGTTTGAGTTGGTGGCGTTTGATCTTATGGGACCTTTTCCGCGATCGACTGCTGGCAATGAGTATGTTATTATTGCTTCTGAGTACTTGACTCGTTGGGTGGAAGTTGGTGCTCTTGCTAGTGCCTCTACAACTGCTGTTGGATACTTCCTCCTCAATCGAGTGGTGTTCCAGCATTCTTGTCCAGAACGGATTCTTTCGGATAATGGTCCTGCATTTATGGCTGAGGTATTTCATGTTTTGACATCTCGGTTGGGGATACGCCACACTTTTACGAGTGCTTATCATCCACAATCAGACGGTCTGGTGGAACGACTCGTTCGGACATTCAAAGGGATGATTGCGAAGTATGTGAACTTTCAACATTCGGATTGGGATGGTTATTTGCCGTCTCTTCGGTATGCTTATGTCACAGGGGTGCAGAGTTCTGTTGGTGCTTCACCATATAAACTTCTATATGGTCATGATCCAATATTACTAACAGAGCTAGGTTTACCTTCGCGATTGCCACGAGCTCCTGATGCTAGGTCATGGGATCAATATTTGACAAGCATTCTTCCACTTGTCCGAGCAGAGTCTGCTGAACACTTAGGCCGCGTACAAGTGGGACAACAACAGCACTACAATTCCCATCATCGTCCACCAGCGGAGTACAAAGTGGATGATTTGGTGTTAGTCCGTTTTCCCCATCTTACGGTACGTGGTTTATCTAAGGGGCTCCTTGCGCAGTGGAAAGGACCGTATCAGGTGTTGCGGCAAGTTGGACCACAAGTTTATGAGGTTCGGCATGACGTTCAGCAGGCCGATCCTCCGGAGATTGTGCATGTGCAGCGGTTAAAACGCTTCATACAGAGGGATCAGGAGCAGTTAATACCGTCTACAGATCCACCGATGCCTCCTCCTGACGTTCCTCCAGATCCCGGCCCATCTACAAGAGAACCTTGATGGCCTTCCATTATTCCGAGAGGAGGGGATGATGTGAGGGCCAAGTGTACGGCTACGATGCCGTATACTAATATTAGCGTAGTGGATTTTGGTAGCCGTCGGATTGGTTTCAATCCGGACCACTCGCTCCTGTATATAAACTAGGGTTTTTGGGTTAATTGATATGCACATTTCTGTATTCCCTTTCTATATTCCATGCACTCACATAACAAAAAAAAAAGCACAAACAGATCACATTTTGTAATCACAAATTAAATGTTTTGTTTTGATTTAACATTTCAAAATCATTGTATAATCTCCCGTAACATCCTAAATAGTATTAATCTTATAGATCTACCAGGATATATGACACCAAAGCTGGGAAGAACGAAGAAACAGATTTACGTCCCAAGGCCGGGGAGAGATCAGCCATTAACTTCGTCCCCGGAGTGAGGGTGATGCGGTCTTATGCCTGCATAAGATTTCCCGTTTAGCTTTTGGTGGTTTGACCACAAACACACGAGCTTACCTCCGGGCAGGCGCAGACAGGATCACAGAGTTTTTCACGTCTTCCTCACTGCAAATCTCCACTTATAAAAATAGTGAAGAAAGCAGATTGGACAGTTCCTGTGCCGCTCTGTGAACCTTCGACCTCTTCTTAAAATAAGTACTCACCTCTTGCAAGATGTTCGTATGTTTTTCCTATGGCTCGATGTTGAAGCTGGGTATGAATGCGCAGCCAAGTGCAGTGTCCGTGTCCGCACTCGCATAGCAAGTTGACGAGTGCCAAGTTGAGTCCTCGAGGTTGTACGCATATGGAGCATACGCGTACAGAGTCTCGTAGCAATCCGAGAAAACTATTGTGCTCCCAACAAGCAGTGCCTGGATATGGAAGTGTTCTCTCGACGGCTTCTTGCCATACAGCTCTTTGTACCGTCTGCTTGACAAAACCTTCCACTCTCCTGCCACAGTGTCCAGCTCCCAGACCACCACGCTGCTAAACGAGTGCGTCACCATGAAACTCCTGTCTTTCCACCTCAAGACTCCACATAAGGAAGTGGCCTCACGGCCATACTCCTGGTAGACGTAACCATTGTGGGGAACTGGATCACGATCATCAACGAAGTGCTTATGGCAAGACCAGGCCATGGAATCTGGATCGTAGGCCATGAGAAAGTATGGCTGGTACTCGAGGCCCATGGTATGCTTGTTCGGTATAAAACGCGCGTTTCATCAGGCTTTGTCGCTGAGGCCCTCATCAGCGAAACCACACAGCTTGTCCAGTGATGTCAAAAGACGTAGAAATTGCCGAAGCGGATCCGTTTCGCGTTCAATACCAGCCTCAGTAACTTCAGCTGCAATTAAACTGCAAATATAACCCGCACCTGAGCAGCATTGTTTTCTATAACTATTCGAGCATCCTTGGATGAACGCCCTGAAATCTAGAGACACGAGCGAGCACACGTAAAACCAGCATCAAAAAGTAAACGGCTTACTGTTGTCCCTGAAGGGGCTTGTCGGCATCCGTAAACCGTTCAGCTGAAACTTTACAAACAGAATGCACAAAGACGCAGATATCTAAAGACGAAAAGAACCGAGATATTCATTTCTGAGACGTAAAATGGTCGTACGACATAAGACCGGGAAGTTTAGCCAGAACACAAGGCTCCACGAGAAGCATTCCTGGGAAAAGAAAATAACATTTTTTCTCTGACGGAATGTGATGAGCCATACCTGGATCAACGAACTTCTTCCGTGAAAGCCTCTGCTTATTTTTATTTCTAGTCAATCGCCGACCTGTTCAAAATGGTAGAGCAGTGATTATAAAGAGAATACGATTGAAACGAAACGTACATTTTTATTCTGCACTGTAGTACTCAGAGGTAGCGTTTTCCGCTTCCTCCTCTTCCCTCTTCTTCTTCCAGTTCCAGTTCTGGTTTCTCTTCCTCTTCCACTTCCACTCCCACAATGCGCATCACGCTTTCCTTCAAAGCCGTTCTTGCTTCCTCATTCTCTGGGAGGAGTGCCATTGCTTTCTTGATCAGCTTCAAGTACAGCTAAAAGGTAAAAGAAGTTAACAAAACGAAAACAAAGTTAAGAAAGATGGAAAACATACCTCAACACCATTTTCTTCCTCCAAATGCACATTTCGCTGCAGCCGTACATCGTATGCACTGAGATATCCCAGGCTCGCCAAAATTCACTCGCTCAGTGGAGCTGGGATGTCCTTAGACGTCTCAACGTGAAATTCCAGTAGCCGCAAGGCACAGGTCGAGATGTCAACTCCCCGGTGTGATTTTCTCTCCATCCTACACGCATTTCTTGTGTGTGAGAGAGAACACAAGGATAACACTCACTGAACCGCAAATCTGAGAAGATCTTCTCTCACTTCCTTCGGCGTGAGTCGAGCTGTGAAATCCCGAAAACGTGTGTTACCAAAGGTAAAATCTACTAGATTGATTGAGTGCGGCAGTGCGGATCCTTGTCCATTCTCTGGCTCAGATTCTGGTGCAGGCAGGCCAGGCGTAGCAAGATCACTGCGCGGAGCTGCAAAATCCCGAGAATGTCGCAAGGGCGTATATCTGATTGGAGTACCTGGAGCAGATCGGTCGAGCGCAGCAAGATCTTTCGGCGGCAGCGCAGCAGATCCCGGCGGGCCGCTCGATTTTCCCCGCCGCGCCATCTCTCCCCGCCCGACCGAAACTTACGACTATCATTTTAGGGCTTCCTCCATGGCAATCTTCGCGATCACGCTTTCTAATTAAGAAGGGCGCTGTAGAGAAGTGACGTTGCCTTGCCCGATGAGTCCAACTGTGAGTGTTTTTAGCTATCTGTGAAGTCTTCAATCGTGAAGGTATCGAGATTTTGGGTTCCAGTTCACGTTTCAGTTTTGCGAGAGTAGGCCTTTACATCAACTTTTTTTTATTTTCACAGTCGGAGGTAAGCTGAAAACGTTTATCTTAAAACTGGAGCTGCTGAAGTCCGCTATCTCAGCTAGCTTTTAATGAGGAGCGAGAGGCTTTGTCCATCGATAGGTTCCTGATTTCTCTCACTTTTTATGAGCATGGGATGGACCTGCATTTTCAGGTGTCAAGTTAATTTTGAAACTTCTTTGGTATGTGAGGTAATAGGTTCCATCCTGCTCGATATCTTTTGAAGTCTAGAAAAACATTATCAGTGCTAATGTCAAGGATCTGCTGCTTGTTGAGTCTTATGGGACACTATTGTAATGGAGGAAAAACATTTGGAAATCTTTATCTATGATATCATCGCAAGTATCACTGCCCTCAAGCATGGATATTAGTATGGGCTTTAGAAAACGGTTCACTAACTTCGTTTTGGATTAAGGTAACGTGGTTAGTTAGTAATAGAGACAATTGCTCACAAGTAGTTCACAATTACAGTGCTGCCAAAGAAGATTTATAGAGAACCAATCAAGTAATATATGTACTTTACCATTATAATTACACTGGAAAACAAATAGTTAAAATGTTTTTGAGAGACTGTGCGCAAGTAGAGCCTGCACCCATGCAATAGCATATATATCGATTGAGCATTTTGGATAGCAATAGCAAGCTCAAAATGCGTTTAAAATCTAGCTCGTGGGCTGAAAAATGCGCGTCCACAAGTTAACATGTAAAAAAAATGACATGGTGCAAAAAATTGCATATGTGACATGGTGTTAATCTGGATTTTGCCATGTATATATGGAGATCACCAATACATTCCCATGCATAAGGAAATTAGTTATAGTTTTATAACTATATAACTTAGCTATGGAAATTATAATTCCTTATAATGGTGAAATTATATAAGCATAGAATAAAGTTGAGGTGTGTAAGAAAATAATGAAGTTAAGGTGTATTTTATTTTCAGATGATTTCAAGTATGTAAAGAGTATTATATGATTTTGTTCTAATTATTATTCAGGTTTTATATTAGTTCTAAGTATCTAGTTCTATACAGAAAAAAATTTTAAAAATAGTTTGAATATTAACTATCCAGTTAAATAGATTGAGATAAAATCCAATAGTTACAGAAATTATTTATAATTTATATAGTGATTAGTGCTCAAATGTATATCACTAATAACTTAAGTAATAGAATAGAATATATGAGAATAATATATCAAGAATAAATATACTTTGAAAGAAATTAAAATTTTCTATGCTAAAAATATATGCTACCCTTTTATTTGATCAAAGGTGGCTTTGTTTTTCAAAGCTAAGTCAAGTTTTTAGTCAAGTTTATCTTAGTTTTGTTTCTCTCTCCCTCTCTATTTTGTAAGATATCTGTATGCATTTACATCAGGTGGCTTGGCATATATAAGATACATTTTATTACTTTGTTTTCTTATATAATAATGTATTGTTCCTAGTAATTACTAGCTAATATTTTATCTGATATTTTTTGCCGTGATAAGTAAAATTACCTAAACAATGTTCGTGGGAGGTTCAATTAGATTAAGGTAGTAAGAAGTTGAGAGTGTTCCTGTCGAAAGACAGCGACACCGAAGTCTGCATGTAAGAGTAAGAGCAATGCCTGTAAGAGCAATCTGAGGTTGAAGAGAAGGAGGAAACGCAGAGGGCTACAGAGGTGAACGCAGGAAATGTGACTCACAGAATTTCCTTACTCGAGCTTGCACAATTCTCCCGAGAGCTCTTCCCTCCGCAGGAAATCGCCCACTCAGCGTTCCTTCGGCAGCAGCAGCCTCTCTAGCATCCACAAATCGCGGAAGAAACATATTTTTCTGCAATGGAATGTTGTAGACCTTGAGCGTCGGTTGACAGAGGAGCCGACACTCCTCGGTGGATTACCTTCCTAGCTGGGATAATCTCTTGTGCGTCACAGCTCTGTTGCTACCAATCTGTGCAAGTCGTAGCTTGGCATGGTAAGAGCAGATCGGGCGTGATGCAATCTTATGCCTGCGTAAGTTTTCCCCTATAGATTTTGATGGTTTGTCCTCAACCACACGAGCTTACCTCGAGGATTGCAGAGTTTTTCACGTCTTCCTCACTGCAAATCTCCAGTCATAAATATAGTGAAGAAAGCACATTGGAAACATCAAAAGCTATCTGAGCTTTATTGCTAAGATTATCAAAAACAGCAAGTTTTTGATAATCTTAGCAATAAAGCTCAGATACTAGCAAAGTGCCTGTATACACTTTGTGCAAGCTTTTCAGCCAAGAACAACACATGGACTGGGGCTTATACGAGTGATCGTAATCGTCCAGGCTATGGACCTTGGATGCCGCGGCCTATTCATGTGAGACAGTGTGACAAAGCCAGCGAGATGGAAGTAATCTCGTTTACACATGAAGCTTGCCAGTGTCCTCCGAAAGAGATTCCCACAAGTAAGGCTTTCCACCGAAATGCAGGTAAGAAAACCATTGACAAGGATTCGTAATTTACCAAGGCAAGTTGAACGGCAGAGTGTATGGCTTTGCTTCGAGACAAGCAAGCGTTCGATACTGCCTCTGTGAACTTGGTCATGGTGGCCAAGTGTGATTTCATCTGCTCGCAGGATTGAGCTTACGTTCTTGTCACATGGATCGAAACTAGGAATGTTTACGTCGCATTGCTTTTGCGATGAGATTTCTAAGCCCAAAGCGCAAAAGTCTTTTCTAAAAGATTTGCATCGTCTCTAAGAGTTACTTGCATCGGATCCACTCCGGCTCAAGAGGTCAGCAGTAGTGCTGCTTAAGATCAAAATCCATGGCCATTACACGACGCAAGATCTTCCACCGTAGACTTTGCCTTCGTGCAACAAGCAGAAAATCTCCGCCGTTCCCTGCAACGAATCAGAATGTCTTGTGAATATTCCCGGTCTGGGCAATATCCCGCCCAGAGAGCAAGAGATAGGGCATTTAGTGTGAAGAAGGTAGCGAGAGTGATAGGGTTTTGTAGAGAGAGCGCTAGGCGGAGAAGCACCGCCGACTATGTCGACGCGTTCCGGGCACATCGCGGACTCATCGCCGACGCACACTCGCCACTCCGACAGGATTCTGGTGGGTTCAACCTCCGGCGTGGTCTGCCGGGATTTCCAGCGCGGGAGGTAAGTGGAAAGCTCGATTTGATCGATTTTGAGCTTGATTTCTTGTCTTTCCAGCTGCCGCTTTGGTTCGCACTGCAAATTTGTCCACCGGCAGGTCGCGGATCCAGTCTCATCGAATCGCAATGTGAGTTCTTTGCTATCTTCTTTCTCTCAGGCCTGAAACCTTTCAGGTGCGCACTGTGACCTCGGGTCCTCGGATTCTGGTGAGTTCTTTTTGGCGATCTAGCTGCCCAGGCCTGAAAGTAAAAATTCTTATAGGACACTATGGCGAACGCCGAGAGGCCATCACCAACTACGCCACGGGTCCGTGCTATGCCATCCAGCTCCAGCCCGGAGCAGCAGGGAAATGAAGATAAAGGCGTTCCACAAGGTATTTGCTCTATCGGTTGACCGTGATTCCTGTCTATTGTCTTGTGTGATATCTGTAGATCGAGAGTGTTTTCTTGTTGGTTTTATGTGGATGGATGCCTGTTCGTTAGTTCTTTTCATTCTTTTTTTTATTCTTCTGTACACAGGCTTTCGTTTGAAGAGAGGCATGGCGCCTGGAGTGGAATCAGTGGCACCTGTTGTGCCCGACCCGGCTGAAGAGACTCAGGAAGAATTTCGGAAGGCGATTTTGCAGTATGCCACGCAGTAAGTACTATTTCTCTTAAGCCCTCTCTTTCTTTGTCTTCTCGTAATCCTCGTTTATCCAGGATGGAAAAAAAGATGCACAGGGGCGTTTCTTTGCAGGCTTGCTCTCTCGGGCTGCTGGTGAGGCATATCAAGCGCTGCCCCGACATTAGTCCTGCGTTAAAGAGCTTGCTGCATTCCCGGATTGACAACATTTCGCTGGAGCCGTGCTCAGTTACGTATCAACATAAATGCCATCTCGATGAAGAGGCGGCGCTACAGGTAAATTCTTCGTGCGTAATTTGGTTTCTTGTAACTGTTCTAATTTCTCAGCACTATTCCAAATTCATTGACGAGGCACTCTCCATGCTGGAAGAAGAAGAGGCTTTGGAAGACCTCCGTGCAAGTATCAAGAAAGTGAAAGACAAGTCAGCTGTGGCCCCTTCTGTCGCCCCTTCCACCCGCTGTTTTGAGGCCAGCGTGAACAGGTACCATGTTTTTTTCCATTCCAACTCTGTGTCTATCTATCTTAGTCCTGCCCCTACACTGGCAGCGTTGCTTCTACCCTCCAACCACGCCGTCGTCGTGCTTCGAAGATCAAAGCTGCTGAAGAAGAGAACTTGTCTGCCGAAGAGGAAGAATACTTCTCGGCCGATGAAATTTTTGAAGACGAATCCATGGTAAATTAATAAAAAAGGGGGCTAACTTTTTTTTTGTTTTGTTTTTTTTTGTTAGATTCTTCGCCTCAAGCTATTACACTTGCAGCAACTTGCCAAATATGTGGTGTCCATGGCGGCTTTGATGTACGAATATGTGAGGTAATTCAATTCTATACTAATTTTTTAGCTTGATTGTTTTTATTTTCTATTAGCCTCAATTTGGCACATGTCAACCCTCTCCTCAAGCAGCTAGAAAAAATAAAAAACGAGCTTAAGGAAGCTCTAAACAATCTGTAAGTGGCTTTTGATCAATCGATTTGAAATTTTTTTGCATGTTTTGCTCGGCTGGTAGTCTTTCTCAGAAAGTGAGACAAACTTCTCTCTTTCGTGTTCTCTAATGTTCCAGTTGGCCGACCAAGGTACACAACTGAAGAACCTTCTAACTTCTTTTCCAAATTTCCAGGTGAGCAAGGAGATTGTAGAATGCAAGGTAAGAACCAGTCTTGTCCTGAGAAGCACGAGGAAAAAAATTTGAGAAAAACCAATCCAGTACTTTGTCTCTCTTCTCCAAAACTGGGAGGCGTTTCTGCCTTTAATGAGGAGCGGACAAAGCCCAGAAGCAACTCTGATGATTCTCGTTCCAGAGGCTTATAAAAATCACTGTCCAACAAGTATCCAGAGGTTAACAGCAGCTGATAAGTTACTGATTTCTCCGTTCTGCATCAGGTTATTGATTTTTACGAGTATTACAAAGGAAGCATGGGATGGATTTGCATTGTTACTGATGGAAGTAAGTATGCTATTTATTTCGAACTGAACAGGCTCTAAAGTAGTCTATCTCAGCTTTTAATGAGGAGCGGACGAACCCGGGAAGAAACTCTGATGATTCTCGTTCCAGAGGCTTACAAAAATCACCCTACACAAGTATCCGGAGGTTTGTTATGCCAACAGCAGCTGATTTGTTGTCTGTACCAGGTTATTGACTTTTACGAGTATTACACAGGCCAGATGATGGAAGTAAGTATGCTATTTATTTCGAACTGAACAGCCTCTAAAGTAGTCTATCTCAGCTTTTAATGAGGAGCGGAGGAACCCGGGAAGAAACTCTGATGATTCTCGTTCCAGAGGCTTACAAAAATCACCCTACACAAGTATCCGGAGGTTTGTTATGCCAACAGCAGCTGATTTGTTACTTATTTCTCCGGTCTGTACCAGGTTATTGACTTTTACGAGTATTACACAGGCCAGATGGAAGCATGGGACGGACCTGCATTGCTCCTTTTCAGGTACAAGCTAATTTATTTCAAAGGAAGACGTTCCTTAACGGATGTATTTGAAGTGATGGGAGGACAGTTGGCGCTTGCCTTGATCGAAACGGTCTGCTCGATATTGGGAAACGAAGGATGGAATGGCTTCTGAGGTATGGAAGCACGTTACCTCTAGCTATACTTGACGAGAACTAAAACCATGCCCTTACGTAGGTTGGTTCTGATATCATCTCCGAAGGTCGTTTATAGACCCTGGGATGATGATAGCCATAGGCTTGAACTCTGGAAAGGCAAGAATAAGAACATGCTCTGCATTTGTGATAACGTGCTGAGGCTACAGGTATCCGAAAATACGGAGGTGAAAAAGAGGGTCGCTCTTTCACATCCTTATCGCCAATGGAAAAGCCGTCCCCTTCCTGTTTGTAAATTTTCAGCTGAACCGTTTATGGACACTAACAAGCTCCTTCAGAGACAGCAGTAAGCCGTTTATTGTTTTACGCTAGTTTACGTGTGCTCATGTCTCTAGATTTCAGGGCATCTGGGTATTCATCTGAGGGTGTCCAAATGGTTACAGAAAACATGACATCGCAAGGCAAAGAGTCGTATGGGGGACGATATCCCTCTGGCTGTTCTGTCTCAGAGAGAGAGAGGTCATGTGCTGTTTGACTATTTGAAGCAAAGATTCGCTCAGGTAATGAGAACAGATTTTGCAGGCAACAAATCCTCCCATTATCCTTTACGGGAGGTGTCTCTTGACATGAATACTGGAAAGCGAGAAAACCTTCTGGAAGAAAAAGCTGAGAATGCTGCTCAGGTGCGGGTCATAATTGCGGTTTAATCATCTGGCTGTTGTCTTGCATGCGCAGCTGAAGTTAGTGAGCCCGGTATTGAACGAAGGAGAGCTCGAAACTTTGAAGACGGATCCAGTTTTGAAGGCTTCGACAATTCCAACGTTCTTTGACATTAGTAATGGACTTGAAGGATCACTTTCTTCTGCTGGACAAGCTGAAGGTGCTGATGAGGCTGTACGTGGAGGATCGCAGCTTTTGATTTTGAGCGAGGCAACAGAGCGAATGAACTGGTATGCTTGTCTCGCTGAAGTTCTCGGTATTAAACGCTCGTTTGAAGTGTAGGTAAAGCCTGCCATACCGATGCTGCTTGTGGTACACCACCACCTTATTCAGAACGGACTTCGCGCGTCAGCATCTCTGATACTGCCCAATGCTTTTGTACACAGACTTCTTGGCTTATGGTACTATCATTTTAACCTTTGAACCTTGCCCTTAGAAACGTGTTGTCTTCAGGTGACGACAGAAGGGGCGCGGCAACAGAAACTTTAACAAGCCAATTAAAATGTTAGTATGCAGGTCGACAATTGTCTCGATATGGGAATTCTCTTGTATCAAGGTATGCAATTCCGCAGGATACTAGGATCAACAAAATAATTATTTGTTCTAACACTGTGGAAATAACCCGAAGGTGTCGAAGCTTCTCCACAGAGCAGTTCGTGAGAAGAATGAGAGCGCGTACGCTGTATATGAGTTACCGACTGTAGATGATTTTCTTGAACGTCTTAACTTGATTTATAGGTCCTTCGATCAAGAATTTCGCCTCACTTATTTCTCCTCCAGGCTAATGTAGAGGTGCGTTCTACTTTTGTTTTCTTGTTGTAACTTATAACGGTGGAACCAATCAGATCATTCATGTCGGTGGACTTGGGTTGACGAGCGTGCTAAAATTTTATCAGCTCCAGCCAGGGCGAGCGCACAATGTGGTACTGTATTTCCTTTTTCGATGGATTTACGAACGTTCCAAAGAGAGGAACATTTGAAGAGGCAAAACCAGAAGACGGAGGTGGGATTTGTCCTTTTTTTCTCTTCACTGTTTGTGTTGTCCAGTAACAAACTAAGGAGATTGTTGTGGCAAGCAACAGCTGTAGATAAAATATTGAGGGAGCTTCATCAAAGGGAGAGAGAGCAAGCAGTCTACAAAATTCGGGGAGAAAAGAATCTCTAGTGTCAACCACTGGTGGACAAACTTGCTCCTTTCGTGAGGTAAACCGCTCATCGAATCTTTTTGTTCTCTCTCAAATCCTGTTTGTTTGTATGCAGCTACATGGACGAGAGAATGCAATGCAATGAGGATAGCTCTCAACTCCTGTCAGCATCCAAGGTACGTTCGTTAACTTGAAGGTGTGTTTCGAGCAGCACCCCGATAAATGGAAAACTTCTGCAGGAGAGACGTTCTCAGCAGGGACGAGATTGAGCTACCAGGGTGGGTGTGTTTTGCTTGGATGATGGCGCGGGTTCTAATGTGATATGCTTGTGGACATCGCGGACAGTCTTCTAAGCCTCTTCAAGCTTCGATATGGTAGCTACGTTGGCTGCTACGAGCACAAAGAGACACGGTTCTATAGTGGAAGTCATAGAAAACAAGAAGTGATTTTTCGAGCTCGACGCTACTGGAAAAAAAACGTGATTTTTTCCCCTTAACGATCCCTTTAGGTAAGGGGCATATAAATTGAGTTTTCCTTCCAAGGGTCAGGGCAGGCAGGATGGAGCGCCTAACGGAGGATTTGTTGCTCCGGGTGTTTGCGAGCCTGGAGCTTGACGATCTAGGGAGGCTGCGATGCGTTTGTAGATCCTGGGACAGCGCCATTACTTCTCACGAATTCGCCAAGCAATGGAAGGGAAGGGACGAGGTCTGTTGTGTCTTGCGCACTAAGGACAGCATCCACAGAGAAGTGTGGTTCCCGGGCAGCGGCGCAAGAAGATCTACCGGATTGAATCCAGGGCCTCGTGGGTGTTTCTCCATTGGGGTTTCTTCGTCACACGGCCTGGTTTGCGGATTGCTACCAGAAGAGGGCCGCTACTGGAACACGCCTGACACAGCATGGAAATTTGTGGTAGGAAATCCATTGACAAACAAATGGAGGCGGTTGCCTCCAATCGATATCCCTTCTCGTCCGCTCTACACCATGGAAAGGATCCATCTCCAGGCTGATCCGTCCAAAGGTTCCTACAAGCTGGTCATCACCTACAGTGAAGATGGCGTTGACTACCAAGTGATCTACCAGGCGCGCCAGTATGATTCAGAGTCGCGGGTTTGGACCTCGGCAGTGCCCTTTATTGGCGAGCACGATTGCGCAAACACGAAGATTGATGGCTCCATGATTGGAAGCGCGGGGCTCCAGTACCCTCCATACTTTCTCATGGGCTACAATCCAGATTCCATGGCCTGGTCTTGTCACAAGCACTTCGTTGGTGGTCGTGATCCAACTCCCCTCAATGAGTCTGTCTACAAGGAGTATAAGCTTGACAGCACCACCTTATGCGATGTCTTGAGGTGGAGAGGCAGGAATTTCATGGTGACGCACTCGTTTAGCTGCGTGGTGCTCTGGGAGCTGGACACTGTGGCAGGAGAGTGGAAGGTTTTGTCAAGCAGGCGGTATAAGGAGCTGTATGGCAGGATGCCGTCGAGAGAAAACTCGGAGATCCAGGCGCTGCTTGTTGGGAGCACAATAGTTTTCTCGGATTGCTACGAGACCCCGTACGTGTATGCGCCATATGCGTACAACCTCGAGGACTCAACTTGGCACTCGTCAACTTGCTGTGCGAGTGCGGACACGGACACTGCACTTGGCTGCGCATTCATACCCAGCTTCAACATCGAGCCATAGGAAAAGCATCTTGCGAGAGGTGAGTACTTGTTTTAAGAGAGGACGAAGGTTCAGCACAGGGGCGGTCCAAAGGTGGGACTTTTCTTTGTGCTTTCTTCACTGTTTGCATAACTGGAGATCTGCCGTGAGGAAGACGTGAAAAACTCTGCGATCCTGCCTGCGCTTGCGCCGAGGTAAGCTCGTGTGTTTGAGGACAAACCACCAAAATCTAAAGAGGAGAACTTATGCAGGCATAAGATCGCATCACGCCCGATCTGCTCTTACCACGCCAAGCTACGACTTGCATAGCAACAGAGCTCCTGTCAACCGACGCTCAAGGTCCACAACATTCCACTGCAGAAAAGCATGTTTCTTCCGCGATTTGTGGATGCTGGAGAGGCTGCTGCTGCCGAAGGAACGCTGAGTGGGCGATTTCCTGCCGAGGGAAGAGCTCTCGGGAGAATGTGGATTGAAGGCATTGTGTGTAAATACTTCATTATTTATTGAAACATTATACTAAACACTACTTTAAACCACTGATCTGAAGAGAATGTACTAATATCTAGAGGTGATCCTCAGGCTGAATTTCTGCTGCCGCCGTGGGCGAGTGAGC